CCACGCGCCTGCCGTGCTCTGGGATCCGGGCCGGCTCTGCGGGTGGGGCCACGGCCCAGCAGGGCGTTGGGACAGTCGGCAGCGCGAGCGGGCGCCGGGTTGGGATGTGAAGGGAGGGGGTGTGGCGTGATGCTGGTGCCGTGGCTTTGCCAGCTGGTTCTCCCTGCGGGCGACGAACTGCCCCAGTCTGGGGAGGAGCCACATGTGGCCGCACCGCTGGCTGCCACAGGGGAGCTGGGACGTGGCGCTGCTGGACGTGTGGAGACACCGGCTCAGGGAGTTCTCCTGCTGGATCCTTCTGAAAGGCCTGAGACGAGTGATGCGACAGGCAGCACAAATGAGTCTGTAACCTTCTTGTGTGGACTCTCCTGCGACTTGTCTGGAGGCTGCTTTGTGGGGAAAAAACGAAATCATCTGAGCAACCCTGTCCTGTTCCTAGGGGGAGAGCTGTCCAGTGCTTAGACCCTGGGGGTGGCGCTGGGCTTCTATGGGGGACTGTTGTGCTGCTGGTCACGTTTGGCCTCAGTTTCCCCAGCTGTAGCTGCTCACGGAGCCATAGGCACAAGTGAGGAAACAGCTTTGGCACCCCCCAGAATCCCACAGCCTGACCCTCGAGAGGAGAGGGAGCAGGAAAGCGCAGAGGCAGGGTGCGACTGGTTCAGTGATCTAGCGACAGGAGTTTAGCCAAGCTAATCGGATCCCCAGAAAACGAAGCTCCCGCTCTCAGGAAGCCAAGCAATGGGCACGTGAGTTACGGTGGGCGAAATACCAAGCAGAAAGGAGGAGGCCAAAGGGAAGATCGGCGTGCTAAAGGCAGACCTCAAATCAGGCTTGTGAGCATGCGGGAGGCCAGGCTGTCCGTGAAAGCCGCCAGGGAGCGAGCGGGTCAGAGGAGAACAGCAATTTCTTTGTGTCAGTTTTCACCATCGAAGATCCTGGGAGCTGCTCCGTGCCCGAGCTCTTCAGGTGATGCGGCGGCGACTGAGCAGTGCAGATGGAGGTTGCGGGAACAAACTGGTAGATGAAGGATGCTCAAGTTCCTGGACTGGGTGGCGGGTCCAAGAGGGTTAAGAGGAGGGGGTGATAAATCTGCAGCCTGTCAGCCAGCTCAGTGGCTGTCACGCCAGACGGCGGCAAACGTCTTACTCCGACTGGCGCGAGGGACTCCCCAAATGGCAGAGTGGTGGGTCGCACTGTGGTACCGGGAGGGTGGGCTGGGGCAGCCGGGAGAATGGAATGATAAAACACCCAGGTCCCAGAGATGGATCTGAACATGCCAGCGTGGGCTCAGTCAGAGACCATCCCCCCTTTGACCAAACCCGTCTCAGCCAAAACTCCTGTGGGGGTGGGGCTGGGCAGGTCAGCGGCTGAATGTTCAGTTGCCAGCGCTGTCAGAGAGCGCCGAGGGGCATTGCAGGGCTGGTGAGGGCAGAGGCACCTCTGGCACCGAAGTGGTTGGCCCCGTTCGTGTACGTTGCTTTGCTCTGACCTGCAGATCTTCCCAGATCCTGCCAGAGTCCCACAGGAGAATAAAGAACGTGATAAATAGCTGCCAGGCTCCGTCCCCGGCCTGACGCAGCTCTGCCAAACAAACTGTTCCTTTCCCTGCATGTTTGCAGGAATTTGTGGCGTTAATCTTTGCACGTATTTACTAGTGACTGCAGCATTTCTGCAGCGCGATCAGGGCGTTCCCTTTACAGTGTCGTTAGGTGTGAAAGTGAAGGTCCTGCGGTGGGGGGGGAAGCGGTTTCATACCTCCGTAGCCAGGCAGTTTAACTGCAGCTGTGAGCAGGCTGGAGAGCTGATGCCTCTAAAATGACAGCTGGATTTGTGGTCCCCAGGGAAAAGCCACTGGCTGGTTGAGATGCCATGAGTTGGTCAAACCCAGCCGTGTGCTTTGTAGCTCAGGAAGCGGGTAGTGAGCGTTGTAACCCTCCCACCCTGCCCTCTCCGTGCTGCTGGTGCCAACAGCGCCTAATGATTCTCTTTTCCCTTCTCTTCAGATGAATCTGACTATCAGACTGAGTATGAAGAAGAAATCCTAGACACCCAGAGGGAGGATTACGCCAATTTCCTAAGCAGCCAGCTGGAGGAGGATTCTGACTCCGTAAGACCTGTGCTCTACATTGGCTCTGAGTGCCGTCTTTCCAGCCTAGAGACTGACGAGCTCCGCTGGCGTGGAGCCCTTGGAGTTGGGTGGTGGGATCGCGCCCTACAGGAGTGTGAGGGGGGCCAGCTGAGGGAAGCAGCACATCAGGCTGGCGCTGACAGGGGCCGGCAGGAGACCAAACGCTCTGGAGTGCAGTGCAGGGTAGTGAGTGTGCCCGAGCCTGCTCCGTCGCTGGCCAGCTGCTTCCATGTCGCCTATAAACCTTCCAGTCTCGGGAGGTTGCAGGACGGAACCAAACCCTAGCCAGGAACTTGGGTGTGGCTAAAACGTCCCAGTGTCATTGAACGGGTCCGTCCAGGAGCAGGGTGTGGACACGGCTCTGTCCCTTCCCATGCACACAGCAGGGAGGAAGCATGTCACATGGCCAACTTCCCAGGCTGGCACTTAGCTGGATTATAAGTCTCTCTCCATGAAGCTTTTTCTGACCTCCCGTCTTGGAGCACAGCAGCAGTGGGTTCCCACGGCTCCACTCCAGCGAGTCTCCTGGCCTTCCCGTGCCTGCTCCTTTGGGGGGGGCACGAGAGGAAATCCGGGAACCTGCACAGATAAGACAGTGGGAAGGGGGTGAGGCGGCTTACCTGCTGCGGGGGGTGGCAGCAGAGCATGAGGGCTGGTCAGAGATCCTCTCACTTGTTCCCCTGCTTGTATTTAAAATCTTCATCAGCCAGGCTGCGGTGGGGGTGAGGAAGGCGAGAGGCGCGAACAGGCTGCTAAGCCATCTCCGATGCGGGGTCTCCTGCTGACGAGCGTGTTGGCTCCTCTTTCAGGATGAAGATGTACAGCTAAGAAAACGCCTCAACGTCCCCAAGCAAGAGAGCCGAGCCAGCAGCACAGGGGAGCCCAGCTAAGCCCAGAGGAGCCGTCTGGACTTCTCCTTCATGTGGTCACACGACTGTAGCTTTGCTGGCAACAGCCCTTTGGATTAAGAGGTTGCCTGGTTGGGATGTTGCAGTTCCTTGTCCCTCTCGGATTGGGATGGAGGGCGACCCAGCTGTCCTGGCAGGAGACCCGTCCTATCGCAGCCCAGGAAGTGCTAGGGCGCTGCTCACGTCTCCATGCCCCACGGAGATTGTGCTGTGGGAACTGGAGCGCACTTTGCTCCTTTTTCCAGGTGCCGCTGTGGGTTGCGAGTGACGGGTGTCTCTGGGGCTTGCAGGGCCTTCTGGGAGTTCCCTGTGGGTAAAAGTGTGGTCAGAGGCTGCTTTGGGTTTGCGTTGCCACGGGCTGTTTGCTGTTCTGGCCCAGAAGGCTCCAAAAAGTGAATATTGGTGGAAAGTTTTTGTGCTGCGGTGGCTGAGGGGGCAAATACACGAGCACCACCGAGTCCAGGGGTGTTTGTATTTGTCACGGGAGCCCAGCAGTCGGTGTTAAATCAACTCTGTTTATTGCAGCTGTGTGAGTGGGAGCAGTGCTGTCTCGATGTTGCTTGAAGACTTACCAGGAAATCTAAATGCTAAAAGTTAATTACTGTGAAGGTTACTCGTTCCCTCAAACATTCTGTAATCAGGCCGTCTGCAGGAGCGTGAAATGCTGGTGCATTTCGTTGCTATTTGCCAGGCAGGGTAACTTCCGTGGGGTAAAGGCGTCTGCCACCGATCAGTTACCGCTGGGTGAGGGGTGATAAAATGCCACCGACCTGTGCAGCCCGTACGAGTTAATGCCACAAAGGCGCACAGCAGCCAGGCAAAACTGCCCAGCTGTTGCGGGGCCCCACAAGGCTGCAGCCATCTGACGTGGGGCAGTGCAGGCCCCTGCCCAGCATGCATTGCTCGGTCACAGTCCTGGGGAAGAATTGTCAATGCCAACCATTTTTGGGGGTGCACCAGTAGGCCAAAGATCTTAAGTCCCTTCCACTGAGCTCCGAACTGGCCGAGATGACACGTGCTCCTGTGGAGACGCCTCCACCGACACCGGCAGCTGGAGTCCTTTTCATACGTGTATTTTACAATAAAACTGCAGCAGAGAAATGTGTCCTGCTGTCGTTCCCCAGAGAGTACAAGGAGGCGGGTGACTGCACCGATCCAGTCCACGGGGTAGTTTGTCCACACACGGCTCAAACACATGGACACGTTTAGCATCCGTGGTTTGGATCCACGGGGCAAGTTTGCCACTGAGCTCTGTACAGTCTCCAAGGGGGCGGGTCCCTTTTAAGGCTAGGCACCCACCTTCATCTTTTGTGCAAGGGGGAGCCCCGTGGCTCTACTAGTCTGACTGGGCCCTGGCTTTAGTACCTGTTTCTGGCCGGAGAACTCTCAGCAAGTCCAGAAGAACTTGAACTCCTCTTGGAAACCTCCCCCTTTGGGAGGCAAGCAGCCAGCCAGTGCTTGCCGGAACCCAGGACAGCCCTTGGGGTGTTGTAGGGTTCTTAGGCTGGCCTGGAAAAGCGGGGCTTACCTCCACGCGCAGGCTGGAGGCCTGTCCTCCCCGAAACGCTGACAGTCCCATCGGTCCTCGTGGCCCGCAGGTCTTGTCCCATGTTCTCAAGCTGGCCTTGCGTGCTCAGGCCGATGAGCATCGCAGATCAGCAGCCTCCGCTGCCCACGTCTGGTTGCCTCACTTGGTCAGGCACGTTGGAATTAGAGCCAGTCGCCTGAGGCCTCGCGTGAGGAATTTGGGGCTGGGTTGCCAAAGGCTGCGCAATTCAGTCCAGCCCGTAGCTCGCCTTCATAGAGGGCTTGAAAGTCAAAGCTGGAGGGGCCCAACTGCAGTGCCCGTAAGGCAGCAGCAGCCTCCGCTGCCCACGTCTGGTTGCCTCACTTGGTCAGGCACGTTGGAATTAGAGCCAGTCGCCTGAGGCCTCGCGTGAGGAATTTGGGGCTGGGTTGCCAAAGGCTGCGCAATTCAGTCCAGCCCGTAGCTCGCCTTCATAGAGGGCTTGAAAGTCAAAGCTGGAGGGGCCCAACTGCAGTGCCCGTAAGGCAGCGTGCGCCTGACCTAGAGCCACGTGTCGCCACGGCAGCACGTGGCTGGGCCCTGCCGACACCCTGCCGGTGCTGTGTTCCTGCTGCCTCAGCAGGGCTTG